GCAATAACCCGAGCTTATCCCACGAACTCAAAACCGCTGTGAGGTAGGTGCTCGAGTTCACCTCTTCATCGTATTTAAATCCTCTCAATGTCGAACATACCTATCCGCGTGTGACACACGAGCCGCACACGCGCTTGTGAGGTTAAGGCGGTTGTTCGAGAGGGGTCAATCGAACTCGGGTCCCTGAGGGAGCCCAAGCGAGGTAGATCCAAGCCCGACCATCTTCTAATTCAATGAACTCTCTAACCTTACTTTCCTCACATGTCACCCCATATATATGTGTTTTTTGGAGGTTTACTTTTTGACCTGTAATATCCTCAAAACACTTTAAGAATCTCTTAAGAGAATTAATTTCTTGCTCATTTATCTTTTATCAAAATTGAGAAATGCGTGGATTCCAAACATCCATCAATCTATTTCAGCCACCTATCACAAACCCCATCACCTTCATAATTTGCAACAGAATTTTCCATTCAACCTTTTCAAATCTATCTTACACACAATTCCCGACTTATTCTAAGCTACCCTTGAACTTACAATCTCCTGAGCACATAAAATATTGTTCGTAATCTATCGGTTTTGAATGAAGCCAGACTGTGGGCCTTTAATAATCATGGGTAACACTCTTTTAAGCCTTATTGTCAAACACTGTCAAAATCTTACACAAGCTCATCAAAAGACTAATAGGTCTAATATCTTTTAGGTTTTCAATCATACCCTTTTTTGGTATTAGAGCTATAAAGGTTGAATTAATACTACTATTTATCACCCCTCTATCAAAAAATTTGTTTACCATACCAAAGATTTCAACCTTAACCTGATCCCAAAAATGATGAAAGAAGCCTAGAGGGAAGCATCCGGTCCAGGTGCTCTATCTCTTGCCACGCTAAACACAACTTCCATTATCTCCATTACTGAAAAAGGTCTCTCCACCCACCCAGACCATTCTAGAGACAATTTAGTGAGGGGCACTTGACTGAAGTTAGTTTTGGGTACAAACCCAGCAGAGAAGGCCTCTTGAAAATGCTTCACAATAACATTTTTCAAGCCAATCTCATCCCCTTCCATCACCCCATCAACCTTTAATTCCTTTATATTGTTAACTCTCTTCCTAACATTAGCAATAGAATGGAAGAAACGAGTGTTAAGATCTCCCTCTTTCAACTATCTCACCCTAGCTCTTTGTTTCCAATAAGTTCCCTCCTCCAACAAATAAACCTGTAACTCCCTATTTAGATTGTTTCTCAAAATTCTATCCTCTCATTCTCTGATTCCCGAATTCCCTTCTTTTATATCTATCTCAGTGATTCTATTCAAAATCTCCTCAATCTTTCTCTTATAGTCAACTCCATTATTCTTTTTTACAGCTGATCAATTCCTTTTTAATACTTTGCACCTTCTTAGATACTCTGAGACCATTCCATCCTTCCACCCCTGCTCCTAGCCAAATATTATTTGTCAACTCATTAACCTCTTTATTCTTGATCCAGGCCATTTCAAATTTACAATACCCTTTACCAAAAATAGGTGTTTCACTTTCCCAGATCAAAGGAATATGATCTGATGAAAGGTTTGGAAGACCCCTGAATCCAATATCCTCCTAAACACTCATGTCTCTTCACTCATTAAATCGTTCTACTTCTCTCCCTCCATATTATTTAAAAGCTCTTACAACATTTTTAAAATCTCTCTACCTCTCTTGCCCATATTTCATAATCTCCGACTTTTATAACTTCTCTTCCCTCCAATGTTTTTCTCTATTTTATCTCTCTCCTCCCCCATATTCCCACTACCTCTAAATGTTTCTAAACATTTAAAATTATCTCATTTATGTCTATAGTTTTGTAAAACTCTCTCCCTAAAATGCTCTTATTTAAATTTCTCTTCTCTCTACGATATTCCTAGCACTCTCTCTCTCTACGATTTCTCTATCTCTCTCAACCGTTTGTCTTTCTCATCCTCTCGATCGAGAGCATCTATATTTCTCCCCTAACTCTTTTTGTCAAATATAGGTATATTTCATTGAATTTACTTTGGTTATTATTTTGTTTGGATCTTTTATTTTTCTTCTCTTTTCTCTAATGTCTTGTGATCTTAAGGTAATTTATGCTTGCAATTTTTTTTTTTTTTTTGGGTTGAACTACAAATAATATGATTAGAAATAAATTATGATTATGTTGCTTAATGTTTTAGTTTACTCTATAGGATTTTTTTTTGTATATGGTCTCTCTCTCTCTCTCTCTCTCTCTAATGCCCAACCCTAACAATTTATGCTTCTGACTTATTCTAAACTTTATTATTTTCAGTTTTAGGTTAAGTAAGTAGTAATGAATTATTTTTCAATTTTAGGCCTACTATAATTAACTTTGATTTTATAAAATTATTCTTCGCCATAGCTTACCTTTGATGCTTTTCTCTACATAAGAAAATCACATATTTAAATGGGCAGCTAAATGAGCTTATTAGTATTTTTTTAGTTTCATATTTCCTCGTAATAAATTTTCTACAGAATTTTCAATGAATAAATTTTTCCCCAATCCTTCACATGTGTTGGAAGGGTTAAAAAATGACAAATTGTTAAATTGTTGGTAAAATAGGAAATTCTTTATGAGCATATATGTATACTATGAGTACATCTCTAAACTTTATTTTCCTGAAACTATACCTCCATGTGTGCTAAGTATGTTGACATTTCAATTTTCCTTGATTTCCATCAAATTACAAAGGAAATAGGAGTTACAAATAATAATTCTTCAAAAGCATAAGGCATCACAATTAGGCATGATTTGCTATCTCCACGGAAGATCAAAACCTTGATTTATTTTTTTAATAAATATACTCACTAATTTAGTATTGAAATTATAATATCTTTCTTTTTGGTAAATTATAGCATATTATTTAAAAGAATAATATTAATACAAATAAATCATCTTTTTACGTATTTTTATAATTAATATAATCTAAATTATGGTACATTAGTAAATAGATTATTTATTGCCAAAAAGGATTTGTTTCCTAAAAGTACAAATAATTATAGTTTATTATATAAAAATCTGAAAATAATCATAAGACAACATAATTCAAATTATAACATATATTGGTAAATATATTTATTTTGTAAAAAATATATATTTTAAAAATAATATAATAATTTTTTTATCATTTGTTTTTCAACTTCTAACATCCACAACGAAATTGAAAAAAAAAATTCTCTATCACTTTTATGTATGAAATTTGAATTATTTAATTGTTTATGTTCTAATTTGTGCCAAATGGATACGTGTTAATTAAATATTTTTAAAATAATGTATTAGCTATAGTTATTTGATACAATATTCAATCTCAAAGATTCCTCTAATTAAAATAGCATTTTCAATTTTTCGGTATCTCGCTAATCTTATTTTATCACAAATAATATATTTGAATTATTTATTTCTTTCATGATCTTGAAGAGATTATAATTATTTAATGAGGATAAATTCAATAATATCTAAGGCCATGTTTTATTGAAAATATTTTTCAAAGATAAATATATTTCAGTAATTAATATTAAATATCACATGCAACGTACATGCATATAACTAGTATTGATAATTTAGGAAAGATTGGTTGCAGCTTGTCTAAGGTATATTCCACGCGGAAGCATACACAAAACACATATAGGTGAAGTTCTACAGTACTTCACCTACACCTCATCACCATCCAAAGTTCATCACACGGTCACAGTTGTCTGATAGTATTTGAATTTTTATAATTATTATACTAATTATATTTATTTAAAATTTGAGGCATGTGTACATATGACCAAGTTGCACCAAAATGAAATATTAAAAAATAATATATATAAAATAAAATGATGAAATTAACCTTGAAACTTTATAGGGTTATTTTGCAAAAAATTTATCATCTAAATCATTTGTTTTATATTTTATTCATGTGCATCTCACTAAGCCGCACACACTTACAAAATTTCAGATCATTATGATTTATGAAAAAAAATATTAAAATTCAAACACTATCAGACATCTATAACCGTGTGATAAATTTTACATGGTGATAAAGCTGTAGGTAAAGTACTGTAAGCGTTTTGTAGTGTTTTCCATTCTACACACCCAAAAGACTTCATACTCCCATAAGAGCAAACTATCTTATTACTCCTTGAGGCAAAACACATGCTATGGATACTTTCTAGATCTCAAATTTTGGGATTGCAGTCTATACATCCAATAGACTGATCTCAATTCAAAAAAATTCCCAAATAAACTCTCTATGTCCTAAAATAACTAGTTCCTGAACATTGAATCAAGACCATCTAATTTTTGAAGGGCTAGATCTAAGGGTCACAAAAAACAAAATTAAAATTTGTTCCTTCTAAAAATAATCATATGTTAATTCTTATATGGTTCCCAAAAGTTTAGACTAAAGTTTTTTTCTCAATAGGTGTTTTGGGGGTGGGTGTATATGCACAATATACTCTCACAAGATCATAGAATACGTGCTTTTCATGGGTATATATATCTTTCCCCCTAAGGAAAAAAAGGAGGACACGGTTAGCATGGCTAAGCCCACATATGTAGAAATGTGTCCCCCTTAAGAAACCTTATTTTTTAGTGGATTTTTGGATTTAATTTTTAAAGATATGTAATCTCTAGCAAGGAAATGATAGATAAATTTTAAAAATAAAAAATAATAATTCAATTAAAAAAATATTAAGATTCAAGTTTCAATTATTTTTAAATGAACCATGTATTTACATGGAGGTAAATGTTTTATACTTTTGGACCGCGTATGTAGGTGTCCAACCCGAATGAAACAATTTTCCAAAAAAGAAAAGCTCTCTCTACAGCTGGTCTCTCACGTGTTACCTCTCTGTCGCTCTAAACCTAATAATATTGAAAAGCAATCCTCTCACAGCCGCGTAATCCTCTTGAAGATAAAATAAACAGATTCACAACCTCTTGTTATTTCCACCCAAGAAAGAGGTTTATTGTAATGAACTCCTCCCGGAAACCAAATGAGAGAGCATGTTTTAACTTTTTGCGGTGCGAGAGATGGAGGGACAAACATTTTGGACCGTCCACTGCGAAACCCCAGGATATTCGAAATCTCGTTTGCGTTTCCCGAGGATATTCCAATCTCGTCTGCCTCTCGCTCTTAATTCTCTCTCTCAACCATTCGTGATTTACATCTCTCTCTCAACATTCGTGATTTAAATCTCTCTCTCTCTCAACATTCGCAACTTATACGCCACTTGTACCGTGGTTCACAGGTGCCTCATCCTTCCCTTCAAAACACTTACAGGCGCTTTACACTCTCTCACCAAAAAATGAAATCTTGAGAACCTTCTTTCCTATGATGGCCACTGCAATCTCTTCTCTGGTCTCAAACACTTACAAACCTCAACCTTTGAACCTCTGTTACTCTAGCACTAACATCAATGCTATTGCTATTAAAGCAAGCAATAGTTTTATAGGGAGAAAGGGAAAGTTGAATGGAGGGTCGGCAGGTTGTGGACAGAGAATTGGGAGAGTGGGGGCACGGTGGAGAAGGGGAAATGGGTCCTTTGCTATGAATATGGCGATAGTTTCCAAGTGGAGGAGGAAAGGGATTTTCGGCGGCAGCATCGAGCAGCAGCCCCAATCCTCTGATTCTGTGGCTGGGATGTTGCCTCTGGTTGTTGCTGCCACCGCAGCTGGAGCTCTCCTTTACCCTGTTACCTTTTCATGGTAAATCACACCCTCTCTTCTTCTTTTTTTTCAATTCGTCTCTCTATGTTATTCTTCTTTTTCTCTCTGTTATTCTTCTTTCTTGCATTCCTTCTCTTCTCTTTCTCCCCCTTTACTTGTTCTTAGGTTTCTTTTACTAGAAAGCACGTTTTAGCTATGCAACATCAAGGTTTTAAAACTTGGCCTGCTCAGGGGGGAATGGCGTGGGCCTTGGCGGTAGTATTGCCGAGCCTCATGGTGAGTTCTCTGTCTCCATTCTCACTGAAGTGTAGGGGCCCAAATCCTTACAGACTTCACCATTTTTTTCGTAACGGGGTTGAGGTCGTGGTGGTAGCACCACTTGAGCCTCAGGTATGGGTCCAGGTTTCCATTCCCAATGACTCTTTGAAAAACCCTAATTATTTTTAAGAACGGGTAGGGGCCTGTATTTCCCACGGATCTAAGCAAAAAAAAAGCTTGGCCTGCTCAGCAGTCAGCACCTTGCCGAGCTGGGTCATGGGTACAAACTCGGAACATAAAAAAAATTAAAGCATTATAAATCTATATATTTTCTTTTACTTTAATCAATGTGTATATATATGGTTGTATATAAATTTGTTGTTTTAATAATGATATGCGACTTTTTATTATCTTGTGCTCTGATTTTCCATTTTTTCTTTTTTTAGGTTTTTCTGAATTGTTTTCAGCTATAAGTCATTTTTTCCAAATTTCATCTTTATGTATTTTTTACCATACTTTCAATGATTTTGACTGATTCTTTTGGTTTTTATTATGTATTTTTATTCTCATTTTGGTAGGTTTTTTCTGGGCTTGCACATGACTTGGACGAGTTTGTGCACTCACACGAGTTACTCGTCTTGCACCGGGGCTGAGTCCCGAGGCCGAATTTCAAGTTTTGATTTTTTTTTTTGGGTGAATAAGTTTTGATCATTGCAAAAGATAAGTTAGTGTGTTCGTTAATCATTTTCTTTTGCCATTTTTATTTTTTATTTTTAAATTTTTTGTTGAAGCATTTTCTTTTGCCATTTTATTCGTTTAAACTTTATGAAATTGAGTGAATTCAATCAAATAATCCTGAAACACAGTGTTGATTGCATCTGAGGGTTTTTCTACCCCAGTAACATGTAAATCAGTGCTAATCATTCGTCTCTCTCCTTTCTATCTCTCTTCCTCTTTTCATATTCCTCATTTTCTCTGTCTTAAACCCATCACCTAATGTAAAGTATCCAAACATTTACTAATGTATTTTTAGTTTATTAGATTGATTGAATTCCGTTTTGCGCCATAAATTCCACAAACCTGGATTTACAGGGGACCCTAAACTTTAAGGTTCCGTGTGTAGGAAATCTTTAATTACAATGTGGAAGTGTAAATTTCATAGTAATTTTCAGATTACTGGAAAACTACAGAAATTAGTGGAGGTTTTTCTTTTTTTTATTGGTTTTATTTGTAATACACTGTCCCTGAATTTCAATTCAATCAGGTTTCCAAATTTTATTGGTTCTATATTTCTGCCAGTAAGAATAGAGAATGGATTAGGGTGGGAAATTGCAGAAAACTGACAGTGCCGAAGCTTCTCTCTTATTTGTTTGCACAAGATGATCATGCTCAGGTTTAGTGACAAGAGTCTTTATTTTCTATTGTATTTAGCTGTTATAGAAAGGCATTCAAGTTTTTGCTGTTTATTTAAATTTGCTTATGTTTCTACAACCAAAATATTAAAAGAAAAACTTTTTAAAATTCATGAATGAGCAAAATGCCTGCCCCTTTTGACAAAATTTCAAATGTAATACTCATTAATCGTGATTAACATTGTTTCAGTAGTAGTTTTTAGTTGTTAATTATTGTTCAATTTGACTAGCTCAAAAAAAAACTAAAAATTGCATTGCTCAATTTGGTTTTTCCTTCAAAATATTGTTTTTACTTTGTGCGTGATTTTTTTGTCTGGACTAGAAAATGTATACCACTATTGTCAAAAAAAAAAAACGTGCCTGCACTCGATTTTAGGGTCACATTTGTTATTTTTAGGTCCTCTTTCAGAACACTCGGGGTATTAATTTGCTAAAAGTGTTTCCTCTCTACACTACCTATTCTTTTTACAGTCTACTTTCTGTTTATATTATCACTTATTCATACGAGTAAAACCTTCTGGGCCTTTGATGAATAACCGGGAATAATGGACCTGGTGTTTCCTTTTTTAGGGTATCAAAAGAGTATTACGCCCCTGCTCTTGGCGGGATTATGCTATCCATTGGCATTCAGTTATCTATCAATGATTTTGCTCTTGCATTTCAAAGGTGATTCTCCATTCTTTGTCTTCCATACACCAAAAGTTACATTTTTTTCTTTCCTCCTCTTTGGGTTGGGTTTAACCAAGGGACTGACTTCAAATACACACCATGGCTTTAACTCATTTGCGTCTTTTTGTTCCTAAATAGCAGTTTCCAAGGATTTTTTCATTTGTCATTTTCAAAAAAGGAAGTTAAAATATGCCTCACTACTCAAACCTATCCAGATTTAATTTGCTTTAAATCCTTTTTTTTATGTGGGATTAAAATGCAAAGTCTTAGTGTTTTTGTTTTTGGGATTAGAATGCAAAGTCTTTACTACTTATTTGATGCAGACCTTTACCTCTGTCTATTGGGTTTATGGCGCAGTATGTGCTTAAACCTATGTTGGGCCTCATGATAGTAAGAGCATTCCGAATGCCTCCCATATTTGCTGCCGGTTTCATCCTTACATCCTGTGTATGTGGTGCACAACTCTCGAGTTATGCGAGTTTCTTGACCCAAGGAGACGTGGCTCTGAGCATTCTCTTGACCAGTTGCACCACCATATCATCAGTGCTTGTTACCCCGCTTCTTACCCGTCTGCTTATAGGCTCTGTAGTGCCAGTTGATGCAGTGGCCATGTCCAAGTCGATATTGCAGGTGATGATGGCCGTAACCATATGTTGATAATTCACCCTCTCTTGGTTTTTTTTTTTTAGTGATTTAATAATTACTGATTTGTATCTAATCTAATTACGAATGATCAGGAGCTTGCCTCGGCCAAGGCGAGTTATTTGACCGAGTTTGAGTGGACTCAATTGAGTCCGGTACAGGGTGAAAAGGCTTGAATAAATTAAAAAAAAAAAAAGAAGACAGAAATCGAAGCTACTAAAACTTCAATAAAACCAAAAACAACCTTAAAAACTCCAAATAAGTTTTAAAAATATAGAAAAAATGGATCTAAGAAAGTTTAGTTGGGGATATATTAAAAGAATCCAAAAAAATAAAAAAATAAAAATAAGTGTTATGCCTAAAAAAACTCACTAATCTTTGTCAAAAAATTCAAATTATATATTATAAATTATAGAACATTCCCATATTTTTTAACTACTTTTGGAATTTTTTGAAATTTTTATGTACACTGAGTTGTACTCAAAACTCGAGGTAACTTTTCGTTCCTTATAGAGTGAGGCCAAATTACTCAATTGACTTCAAGTGGACTTGGGCAAGTTTAATAGTGTTGCTATTTTCCAATAAGAAATAATTAAAAGGAAACGTTAAGACTCGTGTTTATGTCGTTTGGTTATGAGACTTCCCATTGATAATGCACCTCCCTTGGATTTTCTTCCTTTTGTAGAAAGTAGTATTTAGACTACGTTCCAATCTGAAACAGTTTAAGAAAATGTTTGCGATAAATATTAGTTGGTGTGTGAATGTACCATGTGGTTCTGATTTGTTTCTAGCATTTATTGTGCCCACAACAGGTTGTGCTTCTTCCAATTACCTTAGGGCTTGTTCTAAATACCTATGCAAAGCCGGTTGTTAATGCTATTCGACCTTTCATGCCATTCCTTGCCATGATCTGCACTTCATTGTGTATTGGTAGCCCCCTTGCTATTAACCGGAACCAGATATTGACCATGGACGGCCTTCGCTTGCTTGCACCAGTACTAGTTTTTCATACTTCAGCATTCATAGTGGGATACTGGGTTTCCAAGCTGGAGTTTTTGAGGTATTTTCTGCTTACCTTGTTATTGTTATGACATTAATGCTTCGTTTGGGAGTTATGACATTAATGCTTCGTTTGGGAAAGCGCCGGTAATGGATTATGGTGCTGTTTAGATGACATGCCTTCACTCCATTATATTAGAGCGGTAATTCAAAACACCGGCAAATTAACTGCTGTTTTGCATACTTGGGGTTATCCCCTCTTCCCATCTCAAATGTACCATGCAGTGCGGTGCTAGTGCATTACCATGCAGTGGCAGCATTCCTAAATGAACCGTAAATGTTATGAAAGAAAACAATGATAAGAGTTCAGTTTCAAAAAAATAAAATATTTACTATGAATTGTTTTGCATGAAGGGTTCATGCGGGTGGTTATGGTTTTGACTAGTGCAAACCTGTCCCAAGTTGTATACTACACCTGTAGTACCCAACAAAATAAAATAACTTCTTTTGCATGTTATTTCTCAGTTGCCCTGATTTTGTTGACCTCTCCTAGTTTGTGCTGGGCGGGTTGATGCCTCTAACCAAGTTTTGAGACTGAATAGCTGGTTACTAGAGAAAGTGTGCTGTTATCCTATGGATTATGATTCCTTAGGCACATCATTGAAATGGATGCTGATGGAGACAATGGGAGCTGCTATAATATGACATGAGTCACAAGACAGTGGGCTCCACGCCCTGTCTATTACTGCTGTCATTTCAGTGAACAGTGTTGGCCATAAGGATTATGGTTTTCCAATAATCTTAGGATTGCAGTGTCCTTACTTAAAAGTTTATGATGTCTAAGTTACCTTTGTGACTTTTCTGAAAAGATTCATGGTGGTCTTCCAGGCAAGAGGAGAATGTGTGTAGAACGATATCTCTATGTACCGGAATGCAAAGCTCGACGCTTGCTGGGCTCCTTGCCACTCAATTTCTCGGCAGCAGCCATGCAGTCCCAGCTGCTTGCTCAGTGGTTGCCATGGCCATTCTGGGTCTTAACCTTGCTTTTTATTGGGGCAATGGGTTTAGAATACGAGACATCCCCAACCAGCTTTCCTCTCAAATCTGTCATATCTTGAATAAGGGGGCATATTCCTGAAGGCCCACTAAATATTGATGGATCATTTTCATCTTCTTCATGGCTGGTAATGAACCCATCATCTAATCAACTTCGAGGAATTTTCTTAGGCAGCACACAGCACCAGGTTTCATGAAATTTGAACAGTGAACATTTTAACACAAGGTCCAGGCGTTCCATAACATGGAATTAAGTACATCAGATATTTATACAAACTTACTTGCACTACAAGAAGATGAGATATACGGAAGGATAGTTGAGAAATGGCTTCACACAGTGCGGATAAATTGATTATGCCTAATTGCATTATATATATATATTTTTTTTGAATGATGCAGGGAGAGTATTGGCAGGAATGCTGCATTGTAACTGGTGTAAATGCATCATGTTTATACCTGAAGAAACAAGTACGATCTCTTGTATTTATCATGTTGAAATCTTTGGGATTTGTTGTCGAAATAAATAACAATATATGAGATCTGTCTTTTCCTTGCATTAGATGTGTATGTATATCAGCAGATATAAAATGTTATATTTTCTGATACTATCTGAATCCCATTGCACAGAACCATGCCTCATATAATTCAACCATGCCGCAAAGGTGGATGATTAATCCGACTGTCAGTGACATGCGCACTCTGTGTATTGTGTCTGCCTGTTGAGTTTGCTGTCACTAGTTGGTGCTTACGTGGAAATGGATTGCATATTTCTGTGATGTTTCATATTATGATTCACTTCCATGAAAGTCATTTCTTGGAAGAGTTCTGACGCATTGAACTCCCGAAATGAAGTTTCTAATTGGAAAAAAAAGAGAGGAAAGGGAAAGCAAGGAGAGGACTCTTATTTCCATGGAAAACCATAGTATATATGTGATAACATAATGGTTCCATATAGAGTACCGAAAGTCAACTTGGCCAAGGTATTTGGAGCTCGGCTGAGGAGAGTGACACAAGAGAAATCTTTCCAAATTTTAAAAATGAAAAGACAAAGTAAGTACATGCATTGTTGTCTCTCTCTTTTAAACATTAAGTGTCGGCGGGCTTACTGGTTGGGTTAGCTGCCCTTGTACACCTCTTTCTAGGGGAACCTTGAGAAAAAGGATTGCAGAAAAAAGGGGGAAACATCAATTGGGGTGATTCGGACCCCAGCCGCAATGGGAAATATCCATGTACTCTATTCACATGAACATTCAAGCACGCTCGTCTTAAAATCGACGCAATAATGTATATAAACTATACAAGAACTGGTGTAGCATGTTCGGGCAAAACTTGCCTCGCTCTTAGGGCGAGCCAAGTAACTCCGCTGTGTCCTGATACACTGGTTGCACGCATAGGTACTTAGCAGGTTTTTGTAGGTACAATTTGTTGCAGTTGAAAATGATGAATTGACATTTTGATGTTATTAGTTACACTCAAGAGGTCAATCGCTACTGTACCTTTGGGCTAGCGTGCTGGTGTGAGGTCAATGTTCCCTGTGCCTTTTGGGTTACCGTGCTGGTGTGTCACCTGAAGGCCTTAAAAGAAGGCTCAACAAGGTATATTAGTTGCTGCAATGATCCCTGGCCTACAAGTACCAAGCTAATTGTGCTGGTACATGAACTTCTACTTCTTTAACATTCTTAAAGCTGCTGGGTGAAAGATAGATAAGCTTAAGACATTCCTAACTAGTTGAGATCAATCCACAAGATAACTGATGTATGACCTGGAGCATTACAGTTCAGAATAAAATTTTGTATTAAGGTATACCATGATGCACCCAAAGCTTGTGAAGATCTCAGCGGTTGGTGGTCAACAACGGATGGTTGTATAATACATGCAGGATACAACGAACCGTCATACATCCCTGATTTATGTAAACTCTCAAATGACTTCTCATGGTCTTATCATATACGTCGAGTACAATGTAGTGACTAAAAGTCCACTAGGAGAAGTGCTGAATCTCTCCCCTCTGAAGACCAATGGATTCTCTTCGACGTAAATAAAACTTTCCCCTGACTTTGTTGCCTAAGATTTTTCACAAGGTAATTAGATCTCTGCTCCCGGCAAGTATTAGTATTCTGACTAGGGAAAATACTTGGTTTGCCCCAAGGTGGGCTGCTGTAGCATCCATCCTTCCCAAATAAAGAAGGATGGAGGATGTACATAAAAATACTCTAAAAATAAGGCTCAAGGGGATTTAATTGACCTTAAATTTTACAGATTGCATTGTTTCCACTGGACGGACAACTTAAATAAAAAGGAAAACAATGATATTGATTCTTAAAGGGCTTGATCTAACATGAAATTGAAAGTATGTGTTCATCGAGTTAAAAAGACCATATTCAAAGTGTTTTTTTTTTTCGAAAGTTGTTCATGGGCTTCTTTAGCGGGGACCGAGATGCGGTTAAAACGGGGGCAAAAACATTGTCCGTGAGGCCACAAAATGGGGAGAGGCAACCCGTCACGGTGGCGGCCAATGAATTTTCCCCTTCAATTAACCATTTAAAAATCTGATTATTCTTTTGCCTTTGTTAGGAATGGGCTCTATTCTAATTAGACATGCAGAGATCTTGTTACTTTCTACATTCTAAGCACAAAATCCTTGATTTTGGAAGGCAGAGATTCAAGCTTTGGTAGCCAGACAGGTGGTGGTGTTCCAACATGCTAATAGAAAAGGCAGAAGTGCTGACTAAAGATAACGACTTGGACAAAGTGGATGCCCAAACAAGACATACTGTGAGGGGGGCCCTTAGCCAAGTGGTTTTGGTTTTCTCCTGTAAATGGTTCTCCTCAATTTCGTTTTGCTATTTTATAGTAGGACACAGTTACTATGCAGCCAATCTGCATGTTGTAGAAATGCGGGCTTGGCAATAAATATATTTTTTAAATATCATTTGATCCTAATCTTTAGAAAATATATGTTCTTTAACATGGAGATCATGAATATGAAAAAATAAATAAATAAAATTAAAAATTAGCAGTAATAATTATATTAAAACACATTTGGACTGTTAATTATACTTGTTTTTAGATGGACCACCTATTTGCATCCATCTTTAAGATGGATGCTTTATACATTTGGACCGCATCAGCCCGCTTGAAACAATTTTCGTTTAGGGCCTCTTTGGGTACATGGATTTTAAGGCATGGATTTCTAACATCTTGGATATTGTCAAAATCCACCGTTTGAATTGTTTAATGACTAGGGTATTTAAAATAAGGAAAATAAAAATCATAGAAAGAGAAAGCATTCTTAAAATTGTAGAGAGAGAAAATATTCTTTAACTTTTAGAGAGAACTATTCTAAATTTTAAAAAGAGAAACGGCCAAAAAAAAATTTAGAAAGAGAAACTATCTAGAATTTTGAGTTTTAGAGATAAACTATCTCAAATTTTGAAGTTTAGAAAGAGAAAATATATTAAAATTTTAGAAATAGAATTATATCAAATTTTAGATAGAGAAACTACTTAAGGAATTTTAGAGAAGAAACTATCTCAAAATTTTTGAAAAGAGAACCTATCGCAAAATTTATGTTTTAGAGAGAAAAAATATATTAAAATTTTAGAGAGATAAACTATATCAAATTCTAAATAGAGAAAGTACATGAAATTTTTAGAGATAGAAAGTATCTCAAATTTTAAACTTTAGAGAGAGAAAGTATAAAAAAGTTTAGAGAAACACTATATCAAATTTTAAAGAGAGAAATTATTTCAAAATATTTGAGAGAGAAAATATCTTTAACTTGAAGTTTTAGAGAGAGAAAGCATCTTAAAATTTAAGAGAGTCACAATATCAAATTTTAGAGAAAGATAGTACGTAAAAAAGTTTAGAAAAATAAACTATCGCATAAATTTTAGAGAGAAATTATTTCAAATTTTAGCTCTTAGAAAGAGAAAGTATCTAAAAATTTGAAAGAAAAACTATATCATATTTTAGATAGAGAAACAACTTAAAATTGTTTAGAGAGAGAAACTATCTCAAAATTATTGAAGAGGGAACTATCTCAAGTTTTAACTTTTAGAGAGAGTATCTTAAAATTTTAGAAAGAGAAAGTATATTAAATTCTAGAGAGTAAAGCACTTAAAAATTTTAGAGAGAGAAATTATCTCAAAATTTTTAGATAGACAATTTAAAGGAACACGAAGTTCCTTGTTGCACCACTTTATCACATTTAAAGAATCACCTTCCACAACAATGAAATGACCCAAATTCAAGGCTTTAATAAACAACAATCCTTTAAGCAACGTTGTGAATTCTGCCATGTTAGCCCACCCAATAGGTGCAGCATAAGAGAGAATAATTAACGCAGTCCAATCTCATACTACACCTCCAACCCCTGCATTCCCAGAATTACCCATAGAACTACCATCAAAGTTTAGCTTCAAATAGCCTAGTACAGGGGGTATCCATCTTCCGTTCATTATCGGCCTTGTCCTATTAGAAAAAGTAAGATTGACTAAATTTAAATGCACATCGATCTATATGAAGTATATGTTGTAGAAGACCATCATCAGAAAGCCCTTGTCTTTCAAAAGTACATATTTTTTGCTCTTTCCAAATTTCTCAACACACATCACCTCTTACATTTTCCCAAATCACAGACCCCACTTTAGGTAGAGCCGGAAACATCAATTGTGAGATGATACCCAAACCACTTTGAGGTAGAGTCGTCCTAAAGCCAAGCAAACCAAAGAAATAGTTCCAAATACCTGTGGCAAGGCGACAGAGAAGAAATAGATGTGAAATCGACTCCCCGTCCTCTTTACACATTAAACATACATCCGATAAGATCTCTCCTCTTTTAATGAAATTATCAATGGTAATAACTTTATTTTGCCCAGCCAACCACATAAAACACTGAACTTTATGAAGGAATAGACCACTTCCATATTTGGGAAGTTTGGGGGAGCGACCATCTGTTGTGATAATGAAACAAGAGAGAGTACATTGCTTTTATCAAAAAAGACCATCCTTACTGTGCTTCTAAACCAACTAATCACCAATATAATTGGATATACACACTTCCTGTAACTGTGATAACAAGCCCATGATCTATGCCAGTATATTATCATTTACACAGCTATAAGGAAACTGAATATCCTACACCACCTTCTCCCCAATCACCTGATAAGTATCACTTATCAAAGCATTAGGATAAGAAGTCTTAGTGAATAATTCAAGAAAAGCGATCTTCAAAGGACTATCCCGAGCCACTTATGATGCCAAAATGGAATTTGGGCTCCATTCCCCACACACTATCAGATGTCTCTATGGAGATAGGCTTTGAACAAAAAGATATCCTTCCAAAAAACAAATCTCGATTTACTTCTTCTACCACCTCCAATCCACACACCATAGTTATCCAAACTATATTTTGCAGTCAGGACCTTGCACCAAGCTGGTCCTTGAAACATAAACTACGGCACCACCATTTTGTCAATAAGGCCTCATTCATCAATACCACTCTTCGGATACCAAGACCTCCTTTACTTTTCGGGGTACAAACCCTATCCCATCTTACCAAATGATATTTTTTATTGTCTCCAAAAGAACCCCAGAGGAAACATGACATCATCCTTTCAATCTTGTTAACCACACTTGTTGGCATTTTCAGCAGAGACATTTGATAAAGAGGTAAATTTGCCATACATGCTTTCAACAAGGTCACTCGGCCTCCAAGAGACAGATATTTAGGCTTCTATAAATCGAACTTTACTTGGACACGTTGGATCACTCTATCCCAAACCGAGATAGGAAATCGGGAATCAGAAATAAGAAGGCCTAAGTAAGAAATGGGGAAATTGTCAACTTTGCATCTAAGAATCAGAGCTAGCTCCTCAGTCAGTTCCCTACTACAATTAACCCCAACCAAGGACGTTTTCACAATGTTTACCTTTAAACCCACCGCCACCTCACAACACTTCAGAAACATGCCAATATTTTCAATATACTCCTTCTTGGCCTCAATAAAAATCAGAGTGTCATTAGCATACTGAAGGTGTGAAATAATGAGACCATTTTAACAAACAGAAAATCCCTCGAAATTGCCCCTATTCACCACATTCGATATCATCAAACTGAAGTATTCTGCATAGGTAGTGAATAAAAAAGGCAATAAAGGGTCCCCCTGACGAAGTCCCCTGGTACAATTAAAGAAACCTTTGGGGCACCCATCAATAAGAATAGAGAAATGTGTTGAGGATTGACAACCATAAATCCATTTGCGCCACTTTCCACCAAACCTCATACACTTTAAAACTTCTAACATTATGTTCCATTCTATTTTGTCATATGTCTTCTCCATGTCCAACTTAATAATTACCCTCGATTCCTTACTTTCCATTCTGGAATGAATACACTCTTGGGTCAGTAAAACACTATAAGTTATCAACCTATTTTGAATAAATGCCGCTTGAAGTCCAAAAATCACCAAACCTAGCACTTTTTTCAAACGCATAGCCAATACTTTTGCAACAATTTTGTATAGGTTGGTAAGTAAGCAGATAAGTCTGATATCTGTGAGTTCTTTGATAACTGATTTGTTTGGGGTGAGTGCAATAAAGGTAGAGTTAATCCCTCTAAACAGTTCACCCATTTCCAAAAAGCTATGAACCATACCTAAAAGTTCCATCATAATCATAGACCAAAATCTATGAAAGAAACACATAGGAAACCCATCAGGTCCTGGTGCCTTAACCCCTGCCAACAAGAACACTGCAGCTTTTAACTTCTCCATAGACACATAAATTTCTAACTGTACTGTAGTTTCCACAGGAAGAGTTTTAAAGGAGATACGAGCCATACTAGTGGTAACACATACCTCTGACATAAAAGCCTTACGAAAATGATCAATAACTGCCAAAGTTTGGCCATCTATATCATTCTGCACAACCCCTTGAATAACAAGACCAGATATATCATTCTGTCTTCTACGTGCACTGGCTATAGAGTGAAAGAACTTAGTGTTCAAGTCACCCTCTTTAAGCCATTTGACACATGATCTTTGTCTACAATAAACTTCCTCAGATCGCCGAAGTTCATTTAAGGAATTAACTTTTTCGATTCTAGCACTAGCATGTATCTCAAAATATACACCTTCACTCTGCACAGTTTGGTCAATCCCTTGAATATCCTCCAACAGGTTATCAATCTTAGCTCTTAATTGATACTTATTTTCTTTTTTCCATTCTATCAACTTGTGCTCTACAAAGCGCAGTTTTTTGTGTAACCAAAAATCTAAGGATCCATACGTAATTGAGTTCTCCCAAGTTACTCTAATAAGGTCCATCACTCCTGCTTCATCCAGCCACCCAATCTCAAGTCTAAAAGGTCTTGGACCTCCCAGACGGTTACTAGAAACAAGTAATAATGGAGTATGGTCCGAGGACAGTCTTGGCAATGCTTTCACCGTGGCTAATGGAAAGCAACTGAAAAAATTCATTAGAGACTAGCAATCTATCAATCTTAGTCATGATAAGATTCCCTGAACTATTATTAGTCCAAGTATAAGAAGTACCTAACAAAGGTAAATCCACCAGACATAAAAGCATTAAACAGTCTCATGGAGGAATTAATGCATCCTCCTGAGGATAACTCCTC